GTTGAGCTACATGGACTTCATAGTTTGTAGGCTCATTCACTTCTTGCTAGTAACCTTGACAATAAAAAGTGTAGATCAGCTAGACCGCGCAGGGATCGTCAATTGAGTCTTCTTCGCACATGTGCTGTTTAACGCATTTGTTCGATAACATTTGTATTCATTGCCCCTTGAACGCGCAACATCAGTACTCGATACACACACACACAGACACAGACATACACGCACGTGACATGGACGTTCCTCACATGGAACCTTGATTACATTGACCAATCAGACTGCACCACGTGTATGCTTGGTATTGATTGGATGACTGCAGATTACTTGTACAGCCAATACCGGCTGAGGACATGCTTCTGCTAATTTTCATGAATCACGTTCCTACCGTTCTCTGCTAATTAAAAAGGATTTACTTACGTGTATATTACGAGTTCTACGGAATACAACAGCACACACCCATCACAAACGTAGTTGCGACAGTAAGTAGCGATATCATTCTTCCCGTCCACCAAATTCCTCTGGTTGTCTTAGTAACTCGGAAACGACGTGCATCTGAAATGACAAACGAGCTGCTTCTTTCTAATCTATACATTGTACTCATGTAGACTCAGACTGATTCGTAGGTGTTGGGTATGCACTTTTCACTATGAATAAAGTGATTACCGCACTATAGACTTCTGCTTTCGAATGAGTAGCACTGGTCCTATTAAGACCGTCTCAGACCTGACGAGAAATGAACATACGGTGGATTTAGGAGACCAATTGGTGCCATATATATTCTCCAAACTCTACTATAACAGCCTGATTTCATCATTTAGTGAACGGTACTATCTTCAGCAAAGATGCATTGAGTCACACACATACTGCAAAGACAGTCTCCTTATGCGGACACAAACACACATATTATTCGACTGGGATTGGAAACCATGAGCACGGAGGTGATCGATGGTCCGGTTCATTTTATTTAAGTTCAAGGCATACAGTCTAGGGCTCAAATGCTGCGGTGAGTCAGCTCCCCGAGATGACGCCAGTCAAGCGCATCCGAGTTCCAGTTTACGGACATCGGGCTATGGACCAAAAATATCGATCAATCAACAGTCTTACAGTTCAAACAGAAGCTGTGTGACTCTAAGAACGAGAACGGTAATTGGCTGATACTCGTTTGACCAATGATATTTTTATTTACACTATTTAATCCCACTGATTTCTCTCTATAAATGAACCGCTAATTCTTTGGCCTTTTCCCCGCATCTCAGTGACGGGAGATTCCAGTGTACGATTGCTAGTGTGACTCTGTCCATCAGTTGCCACCGTCATTTGTGATCTCTAACTCATACCTACTTCGATTACTATACATTCCCAAACTGAGAACTGATGAAATAAGGCTGAGTAACCCCGGCACCCTCCGCGATTCGCCCGAATTTTGTATCCTCATCTTGGTATTGCCCTCAGAATTTTTTTTTAGCTGACTAGCTAAATGGATAACCGAAACACCGCAATCTAAACCATCGTACAAGAATGGAATGTTAATGGTTGTGTGTGTGTGCGGAGAAGGGGAGGGAGGTAATACGGCATTCGTTACCTCAAATATCAAACATGTTTAAGAGAAACGTGTTAGTCAGTTATGTCAGAGGTCAGCCGCATTAAACCGTGCCCATCAGAGGTGAATTGAATTGCCTTGTGACCAAACACGCACAACCGTTGTTTGACACATTTCTGCTATGCGGCATGCGCCAAATAACAAACAAAAACAATCTTCTGGAATCATAGTACAATCAACTGGTGGTAATAATATCTCACCTTTTCTTCACTGACCCATACAATATTACGCAACGACAGAGTGAGGTTGGTTCCCAGTGATGGGTGATGAAAAAGTCGATTTGTCTGAAATGGGATTCTCGGGGAAAGGGAATGAGCAAGAAAGAGTGTGTTCAGCGAACAGTGTATGAAACTAACCGACAAATTGGGTGAGAAAACAAGCTAGCTTACTGTTCAATTCCTTTGCAAATCACGGTTTTCTTGCTCAACAGTGACACAAATGAGACCAATATGTTTTTTTTTCGACAAGACAGCCGGTCCAGATAGATTGATTTTGGAGTGGCTATTTTACGTGTGCTTGGAGAATGGAGCACTTCTAATGAAGCATCATTGGACTATTTGACACGTTTTGTACGGCTACAGTGTTGTCTATGGATCAGTTTTAATAAGCTAAAACAATTTGCAGCTTGATACAAACCGATTAAAGGTATGACAAGTGACCTTTAAGATACCGATGACGGTTGAACATGCCATTATTTTCAAGTTAGGTCTTCTACTGGACATCATCATCATCGTGCGACGAAATACAGTGAAGTAAACTTCGTTGATCGCTGTCAAGCTCTCAATGTACACAAATAAAGTGAACCTCTATGATCAACACACAGAGTACACAATATAAGTGTGCACATACCGTTTCAAGCATTCTGGTCTGATAACAAATGATAACAAGAACGCCACTGTTATCAGTTCGCTGCCGTATTCAGTGAATTCAATCAACCAGCTACAGAGTCCTTCGGACCCCGACCTGAAAGAAAGGGGACAACTATTCTATCTAATCGCTTTGTGCATCTCTTCATTCCTCGTTTCTACATCATCTGTTGACCTCCACGTCGTTTCCTTAAACCTGGAGCCGCAACCGCGAACAAGGGGCGATCAGCCAGACGACAGATGAACATAAGCAATACATTCCATAGCTGGCGAATCTTACTCATCTGCATTCTGCGTGATAACGAATTTTCCACCGAATCATTACTAAATACGCGATAACTTACCCTAGAGCAGCTTACGCACTCGCTCCATCCAACCCAAGTCCAACTACATAAACATCTGCAATCGAAGACTTCTAGACGGTGAATAATTTCCAAGGGCAAATCAAGGGTCTCACAACTGTAAAATGGAACTAACAGCACACTTGTGGGGTATGCGCGACCTTTTAGTTTCAACGAAACAGCACGTCCGCACCTCTGGTGTTAGCGGTCCTGCGTAAGATGCTCTAGCCTTGGAAATGCGGGTGGTTACTTCCATGACTACCCTACCGTCATTTGTCACGCCATTACTTAAGTAAGAGAAATAAGCCACTAAAAATAATTCTCCACCACCAAACATCAGCGCCAGGGTGGACGATAACCAATTTGCACTTTGAAGGTGCAAAGCGTATATCAGAGAGTTAGAAAACATGAAATTCTTCCAAGAGTGGTTTGCGTATCCTCCTTATATACGAACAGACCAACAGTGTAGTCAATCTACTCTAAATCGCACAGCTTTTCTTCCACTGCCCAGTCAATACCAGCATTTGGGAAACCACTTAGTGTGTTCCCCAATAGTTCGTCTACGACGGAGTTGAATAGAAATGTCGAAATAGGGCACCCTTGACGAACAACACTCCTAATTTCGAACGGTTTTCTTGTCCCAGTGTAGACCCTGATGCTACCCGAATTATGCAGGTACAATGATGGCAATAGGTATACATACTTCTGCGACATTTCTTTGCAGAGCAATGTGCTCATTAGGGATTCACAGTTAACTGAATCAAAGGCTTCTTTTAGGTGTAGGAACAGGGAACACAGGTGTTATTGGTTGATATCTGCTTAACCAGTAATATTTCTATTTAATTATTATTTGACCCCATTTTATTCTTTCAGCAAATTAACCACTGCTTCCGTAGTGTTTTCCTTGGCTCATTGACGGTAAACTTCGGCAGACGACTACACTTGTGGTTCTGCGACTCAATTGTTATTGCTATTCCTGATTCATGTCTATTCTGACTACTCCAGTTATCCAAGGGGAGTCACATCCGTCGTTACAAGACAATCAAGCTAGCACAAAAAATACATTACGATAACCTCAAACTTTCCTAAGTTGTTATTCGATCGTACAACGTATTAGACCAACAATCTCTCACGTGTTTTACTTTTTACCAGTTGTATTGGAAGTGTAACCGTACCATTCAATGAATAAATTTCGAACGGGATTATTCAACTTAATCCATGGATATGCTAACTGTGACATTCTCACTGTTGATATTACAACCCTGTATTACAATTAGCTGTAAAAAAGAAAATTCCATCTCCCAAGGAAAACCGTTTCGGGACTCAAGAAATCCAAAGAAAATGGTCGCGTTACTGGTTCGTGGGACCATGAATGGATAAAAGATTTCAGCCCTGGTTACTGGGAAATATCAAACTCCATGTTATATAGGCGGTAAAACGTTGCCCTTCAATTACAGTTCTTCCGATGACTTCCCCGCTATTGTCTGTCCGGCGTCAAATCTTTAAGCGGTTTCTCAAGGACGCTCTGTTTTACTCTTTATTCATTATTTCTCAGGTCTCAAACTAGAATGGCTGCCTTCAAGCTGTTCTTCTGTGTTACATTCTATGAAATTATTTTCAAGAAAGGGCAGTTTTTCGGGATAAATGGACAATTCCATCTGAAAAAGGGCTAAATGCAATATTCAAATGTTAAGCGAAGCGCATCACACATGACTTCAATTTCTTCGCTGTATCAAGGTCACGGGATACAGAATCTTTTGCATTCCGTTGAATAATTAATTAATAAACAATTAATAGTAATTAATTAATTAGGACTGAATCTGATATTATCTGCCACTCTCGTAATATTAATAATGACAATTTTGAGAAGCCTTAAATTTACGTCCATTGCAAACCGATATTCAGATGAGAATCCTGATACTAAGGGAATCACATCGTTGCAGTTGGTTAAATTGTTGCTTGTTGTATTCGTATACCTCTGTGAGCTTAGTAAGTAACCAAGTATGGAGAATCATAACGTCGAATATAACCTCATATCTCGACTAAAAGAAAGTACCACACAGCTTGTCCTGCAAACCTGCAAACCTGCATGGGTTTGAATCCTATTCGGTTTGTCGATTATTTTTCATATTTGGTGTACTTGTGAACTTAGAGTCTGTCGATCAATGAGGAAACGGGAATAATTCCGTGCTCTAATCACTCCTCAACGACTGTACTCACCATACGCATCAGAGTGATCACATAATCCTGTGCTTCATCCAATGAGGCGAAACGTCCACGCACCGTATGATCGGCAAACACCAGCGTTTCAATCCAGTAATGGCTCTCTTCCGGTTGGATCGGTGTCGCTAAAATGGATGATTAGAACATTATTATTGTAAGAGAGCAGTTGTAATTTTAGTGTATTAGTATAGTGCAGTGTATAGTATTAGTATTAATGTACGACGCATTGGAGTCGATCGAATGTTTATGACGAGCACTTTGGCTCAAATCGAATGTGATTAACTTCTGGAAAAGGGAAAACAAAATCACGATGCTGCAAAATTGGCTCCCGTTGAAATTATGCTAGTTTTTCGGATATCACAGACACAATCACATAGTTAGTAGATCATAGGTGACAGTTACCAGTGATAAGCTGTTGTGCTGAAGTTGTCCACATTTCAAACGAATTTAATGAAGAGTAAGAAATAACTCTTACCTGCACAGTTTCGTCATTTGATAGTAATCCCCTGTGCAACTTGGGTAACCAAGGTCTGGAACGATTTAGCCAAGGTCACTCGATCATCAGTCACTAATGGGTGACGGACAACAGATTCTCGACTTCCCCGACAATGCCATCGCGTCATTACATTCATCTTTTGGTGCTCGACAATCCGCTTAGACAGAAACCATGGTCCACTCTCGGTTGCACCCGTTTACAGAAACATGAACGATGCAAACAGAAGGTATTTGGAACTCTTTCTGTTTTCAAATGGGAATTCGTCGTGCAATCAGCAAATGAAGCGTGAACTGAAAAGCTCGGAAGCACTGGACAGCTGTTTCGACCTGGTTGGGTCTCATCAGCATTGCGAATCTATCGACCCGACCGAGGATCGAACCCGGGACTTCATGGGCAGAACGCAAGCGTGCTACCCACTA